CCATATCAAATNTAAACTCAATTCCATTTCCTACAAATCTNTTTCCTACAAATCCATTCCATTTNCTACAAATCCATTCTATTTCCTACAAATCAATTACTAATACACATAACAAATTTATAAACATAAGAAATGAAAAGAAAATTACACATACCATTTCCTCAATTGATGGATTTGTGTTCGGCGAGAGGAGAAAGAAATCGAGAGAGAGAGGAGGAAGAAAGGTGGGGAGAGAGAGAAGAGGAAGAAGAAATCGACAGAGAGAGGATGAAGAAGGGTCAGGAGAGAGGTTTGCAAAATTTTTGGCAAACAGAAACTAAGGAAGTAGGGTCGGAGAGGGTTTATTAATACGCGATCCGACACTAATTCGACCCAAAGTAGCGTCGAATTCAAGTATTTCGACGCTAATTCAAGGCAAACTAACGTCGAATTAGCATCGGTTCGCATATTAAATAACCAAATGCTTTTGGCTTTCACGTGTTGCCGCGTGTTTGGCGCACGTTGGCGGTCTTTAATTTCATATTAGCGTCGAATTTGCGTCGAAACGAACTCGGTTCGACGCAAATTCGACGCTAAATTGAATTTTTTCGGTTTAGCGCCAAAGATTGAACCAAAACGATTATGAAATTTTTTGGTTTACCGCCAACGGTTTAATCAAACAAATTCAACATAGCGTCGAATTCAAAAATCGATGCGTTTTTTATTCTTTACCCTAAATCTCAAACTTAAAATTTGTTTCGTTTAGCATCGATTACATTTGTTTCCGATGCTAATTCGTGGCTATTGCGACGCTAAACCATTCAGGGTAAAGAAACCGCAACCGATACGAAAAAANNCTTTAACNATTTCAAGCTTTGTNATAACCGAATAATTTTAAAATTTGAAATTTGTTGTACATACATATTTTGTTCATATAAGATTAATGATGATATATGTAAAACTACATAGGTTTTTTCAAATCTTTATTCATTACATGCATTTGTTTTAAATTATGAATACATACTTATTCATT